TTCAAATAATTCAACGGCCTGTCGTCAATTATTCCTTACATATATTGTTCAATTTTAAGCATTCAATTTTTTGTTCAATAAAAATGTATTCTTGAGTCATCCACCATCATTTTGTGGCTTTTGTAAAGTATCGGTTCAGGCACCGTTTTGGCACCGGTACCGTTTTAAAAGTATCGATTTGGCACCGGTATCGAAAAAACCCCAAACGATACCCAACCCTACTCGTCAGTCAGGACAAGGTACTCCTCTTCCTTGAGGTTATGCGCTTTCTTATGGAGGTCTGTCATTCTGTTACGATCAGTAGCGGTGCGCGAGACGGGGAGGCAGGAGAAGGAGACGTAGGACTGGGGAATACGGGATTTAATCAACAAAGGGACTAGGGACATGGAACAGGTAATGGACGGCAACACTACACAATGAGATTTCAATGACAAACCTAGGGAAACGGAATAAGACGCGGACTAAAATACTAGGGGTGTAACGGTACACTAAAATGTAATTTCGGTTCACTTTCTTGAGGTGCTCGGTTCGGTTCATTTTCGGTATAAAAAAGGCAGGAAAAAAATGACTTTAAATGCTTTTATTTAAAAACAAAATACAAACAATAGAATTTGTATAAATAAATTAAAGCGACCCATTTGGGTGATATTTCAAATAAATTAGACTGAGTTTTTAACACTATTGTGACAATTTAAAAATCATAAATAAACAAGTAACAAATGTAAACTTTGAACACGTAGCAGCAACAGCATGAATATGACAAATAAAAATATTCAAGCTTAAAGTTTTTGGCTAGAAAGATTAATTTATCCACATTTTCTGCAGAAAGCACAGATCTGGTTGCAGTGACAATATCTCCAGCAGTGGAGAAGACCCGCTCACTAGCACCAGAGGTAGCTGGAATACAGAGGTAACGCTTTGTGAGTTTTGCTATGTGTGGGTATGTAGCCGCATTGCCTTTCCACCAAAGAAGAGGATCAGCTTCAAGGGAAAGGCACTCTGAAGCTCTGTATTTACTGACCTCTTCTTGGACCTGCTCCAAAAGGGTTGGTTTACTACTTCCCACCTGTCTCTGGAAAAGTTCACCAAAAAGTTCAGTCATTACAGACTTCTAAGCTGGAGGTGATCTGGTGGATGATGCCTCTGGAGATGATGAAGATCCAGCTCCTATCTCTGTGGCATCCTCAGTCTGCAAAAGAAAAAGTAATGTTTTGGGGCTAATTAATAATGTAATTAAAAATAAAAAGGGTATTAGATCATAATTCTCTTCTTCTGTGGTTGTCATCATTTCTGTTATAATGTCGCTGAATATCTTCTATCTCTCATCATCTTCTATGTGAGGCAAGGCTTTGAATCGGGGGTCCAGGGCTGTGCATTTGTGCAAAAAATCATAGCACACAGAGTATCTTTCCTGCAGGCTTCTTGTGACTGCTAGCTTGACCTCTCTCACAGCAGAACTGTCTTCTTGTTTTGGTGCCATAGAGTGGAGAACAGTAGTTTTCAAGGGGATTATCATGGACACAATTGTAGCCCCCCCTTAAGTTACACTGACTACGCCACCCAGCAAAGGGACCAAGTTCCGACAAAATGTACAAATGCAGAGTTTGTAGAAAAATAGAATATACAATCTTTATTGAGAATTCATTTAAAGCAAATGAGCATCTTTGAAACTTGACCATTCCTAAATAAAAATAAATAAATTTCTGATAAAAAAAGAACCAAAAATAAACAAAACAAAACAGAAATAAATGGGAAAAAAGGGGGAAACAATCGCCCTGTCGCTGTAACAGGAGCCCACTACCCCACAGAGAGGGACACACCAGAAGCCAGGGTTACGTTAACACACGTGACTGCAGAGACCCATTGGCCCTGCTATCCACTGCAATTCCCACCACGGCACACCTCACAATACTCCACTACCGAACACCCAGGCTTCACACTGTCTAACACAGCAAGATTTGCAATCATTAGTACACGCAAAGAAACAAACTAAGAAACCCGGCTTTCGCACTGTTCTCTCCCTGGCCCAGTAGACTCTCTGCCCACCCGGCGCCCGGGCTAACGAGGAATAAGGGAAAGGGCAACAACAGGGAACGTAAAGGAAGAGAAAAAAAGAAAAAGAAAAAAAATACACTCTAGCCTGCGATACACAAGCAGTCTTCACACTGCGTAGCGTTATACAGTACAATCAGCGCAGGCTAGAGTAAGACAAAAAAACTATACACAACTAATACAATTACAAAACTATGAGCAGCACCACATTCACGCTGTATATAGAGAACAGCAGCCATTAGAGCAACACAACCACATAAACCTGTCCCGGCCTCCACCGCGCACACTAGAGGTTGGGCTGGCAGAGAACCCGTCCCGGTACAATCACAGCTACCGACATCTGCGCCGATCACACGCCAACTTGGCACTCTGTAACTCTGAAAGCAGAACCAACCCCATGCACCACCAGGCTACACGCCCGCTCGGGAACCAGTACTTTCCGCCGCCAACCTTTCCCGTCACGAAAGGCAGAAACAGCCCACCACACGCGGCACGCCACCAAATGCGCTCGCCCTGGCTACAAGGACCCCACCTGCTTTTAAACTTAACTTTAGGTACCCACCCAGTGCCTGTCCAAATTCCCATCAACTACTCAGCAACTACATAGCTGCCCCTATCAGATCCTGATCTAAAATCATCCACCGGCTACACAGACGCTCTGGATTCAGTGCTCATCAGGGTTGTGATTGTTTTTGGAGGTTTAAGTGCTTCAATCACTTCCTCTGCCATTGCCACTTCTTCGT